TTTCGGATGTTGTTCGACCGTTTCCGTGGTATAATTCTCAATTTGATAAAATGTGATAGAATCTATGCCAGGTATAGGCACACTCGTCAGTATTTTGGTAGGTATAGATTCCTTAAAAAATCGTGAAAAAAAAAAAAAGAAAAACATGCTGACGTATATTAAAGAATGTATGTACAACCTACTAATAGAGCTGTTTCACCTACGTTTAAAAACATGTATGTATTATCGTATGTATAATTGTATGTATAATCTAATATAGCTTACTACTATACATATAATCTAATCTTATAAGATTCAAATATATACTCTAATATATTTAATAGATTGCACAATGTAACTTTTTTTCTGGTTTTAACTTTTTCATCTTACCTTTGCGATGTGTTTATTTATATAGATTTTTTCGTTTTTCACCATACGATACTCGTCTGAACTTGGTTTGCCTTTTACAACAACCGTTGGTGCGTCGCGAAAATAAGTCTTAGCCAAGTTTACAAAATACGTTTTAGATTCGGTTTGTAATTTCTTCAGTTGACGTATAGTGTTTAATCGTTCATTTAGCTGGGAACATCCAAAAAACATGATATATACCGAATTAAAATATAATTAAATTATGAAAAAAATAAAATTCATTGACTAAAATGACTAAATTTTTCACATACATCATCATTTGTATTCCCATACACTATATGATCAAAGACTGACTGTTGTATTATAGCGTGCGGATTGCTTTTTAGTTTACATTGTCGTTCAAGAATAATGTTTCGAATTAACTTTCTTATTATCTTCATATCTATACTAGTTGTACATAATTTGCTAATTTCGTTGTCAAGAGATTGTTTGATCAGATCAATTCTTCCTAATACATTCGAAAAACGCACACGCAAGATCGAAACTGAATGTATGAAAAAATCGTACTTTATATTAACAGGCAAAATGTTTTCATTATACAATTCAGGCATTGATCTCTCCATCCATAATTGTTTTGCATTGAATAAAAGCACGATGTATTTTACGAGTAATTTACAACCGTGATATTCGTACATTTGGGTAACCACTGACGGTCCTCGCCAAGCAACATACACCTCGGCATTGGTTTTTTCACTACATGGTAATTCGACGTCCACAATTACGTTCTCTGTGAGCTGGTTAATCGAAGTTTGCCAAGGTCTCTTAAATATATCATTTTTTTTCTGCAAGTAAGATATAAAACTGAATATTATACTGATGCCCCAATTTTTTAAACACACAAAGCTCCAAAGAAAAAACAAGAATATGGCGTAAAAAATCTTTAACAATATGTACGTACTTTTAAACTTAGTTTCTTTTCTAACGGCAGTAAAGCCTGAAAAATTTTGCAGTGTTCTATCTTACCCATTATCAATACAGTAAAATTTTCTGGTCTGTAGAATTTTTCATGAAATTGTTTGACTTTTTCAAGAGTAGTACTTTCACGCAAATTTTTAGTTGTACCTGCAATTACAAATATAAATATTTTCTTATGTACACTAGCACTTCGAAATATGTACACACAAAAACTATGAAATTGTTTCGTGTTATTCTTTTTACCTCCTATTACGTATTTGTATCCACAACTTTCAGGATAAAGTGCTCTAAACATTGTCCTAGTCATGATCTCGCTTGATGTTTGTTCTTTCTTCTGTTGTTTACAATACAATACACCGGTATGTTTATCGTTGTCAAAATGATGTATCTTTCTACGATATATTGAATCCTACCAAAATGTAGAGAAATATTAAAAATTTTTATTTACAAATTTATTTTGTGTACTTCTGAGAGTAAAGATTTTATAAATAATAAATAGTTTACTATCTCTTACAAAGTTTAGTACAAGTGATTTGTTGTATACAGTATGATACAACACGTCAGAATTTCGTACCATACCTTTTATTGTTGGTATAACATTGAATAAGATTTATTGTTAAAATTAGGTAAAAGTACAATAATCTGCGGTAAATTTATATTATGTGAGCTAAATTGTTACGCGAATGTTGTATCGGTGTAACGATGTTCTTTCGATAAATGTTAAATACGTTACCTGTTGTTGTTTTTAAAGGACAAAACAGAATGATTTGAAAACACAGCATGCTAACAATGTGTTTTTTTAACTTAGTAATCATAATATAAGATTAAATGTAAATTTAGTAAGATTAAAGAAGCCGTTATAAAAGTCAAAACGAATAAAAAAAATCTCTGGTAATATTTTTCAAAATAGAATAGAATATTTATTAATATGTCAACAGTAAAAAATCGACAGTTTAACATTTAGCGGTTAGAGAAGATCTCAAATAATGATAGATTTTTCAACTTGTTTGGGAAACAGCATCCATAAAAAACTTATCATTTGATACTCTCAATATTTCACACATTTTCGTTTTAAACATATAAACAATTGAGTAAAGACATTACCTCTAAACTAGGA